TAACCTGTGTGGACAAACAGGAATACAAAATATGGGTAAATATAGGATCTTGACATAATTAATTCCAAGACAAAAAGATATATTTTTATAATATATGTGAATTTTTCAACAAACCTTCGTCATATAAATGTTGTAATGTAATAAATTGATGGATTCGAGTCAATTTAAATTCATTTATCTTTCTTTTAGTGCACGTAAATGATAGCTTGTTTTTTGAAGTGTTTATATGCTATTTATCAATATTCAATGGATACAAAGTTTTATGAAAGGAAGTCTTGATATTTTTTTATAATAACGTGGGACTCTGATATTATTCAAGTGTTATATTCCAAGTGCTGCATAATTTTCGAAATTTTGTCAAGCAAATAAATTGTTATGAAAAATATGGAAGTGCTTCACTTTGATTGAATGAACTTTGTATGCGAGTTATTGATCGCTAGAAAAGTGTGTTGAAGCTGCCTAAACTGTAACTTTTTCACCGTTTTTCCGCATTGAAAGAAAGGATCATTCAAAAATTCGATAGTTTCTTCCAAATTGTTTCATTTTTGTGTTCACAGATATTTATATTCCAGGCACATTCATCTCTTTTATTCTCAGAACAACCACTCTATCAAGAGTGGTTGATAGAGTGGTTGTCACCAAGAACCCTCAACAACTCTGGTTGTTGAGGGTTCTTGGTGGAATGATACCTCTCTACCCCCGAATCTCAAGAACATGCATGTTTGCTGCAATGAGGCAAAAATCTTAAAATCTTGACGGGACAAATGCAAAAGCTGTCATTCTTGACACATGGCATCCACATGTGGCACATGATTCTTGGGCCCAATGATCACTTACTCCACGGTGTGGGGAGTGATCATTGGTTGATATGGTGCTTGCGCGCCCCCCGAATGTATCAGGGCTTCGTCGACAGGGTCTGAAAGGTGTAATATTTAGTAAAAATAATAATAGTGATGATTATTTCCGTTTTCCGCCATAAAACTCTCATCAAATATAGATTTATTCAATTATTGTTATTATTTGTGAAACTATAATTTTTTACATATACTAAAATACAAATTAAAAACTAGTACCGCTTTCTTTATTAGTTGAATTGCTTTTTACCAAAGGAAAATACTTACGTTTTCAATTCTTTTCAATAAAAATATTTCGTAAAAACAGATTGTGTCTTTGAGAAACTGTATTAACCATTATGTCATTCTGTGAATCGAATAATGAAGTTGATGAATATATTCCATTCACCCCACTCCTTTGCTCTGAAATTTACCCAAAAATCACTCTTCTCATCCTCATTTTCATTCTTTCAGAAACATTTGTAACAACCTAGAATTTAGAATATGCAAATCTAGTTTCGGGAGTTGCTTGGTACCTTTTGAACGGACAAGAATACATTCCGTAATATTTGTATATACAACAGTTCACTTTCAAATTAATATTAGGTTGTTTCAAAAGTTCTGTCCGTTTCAATGCCATGTATTTTTGTAGCTCCATATCTGAATAAATATTTATCCTACTGTGTCGTGGTGTGTACCGATCGATAAAGAATTGTGTACTCTATACATTAATGCTGTTAATTTTTTCCGAATTTTAATTTTTTGCATCTTTTCAGCTTATTACTTATTATATAATATCGTTGAGCGATTTGCGCCAATTTTTCTCAACGAATTCAAATAGAACCAAAACGCTGCCAAAACAGCTCAAAAAATTAACCAGGCATTTGGCATCGTTGGTTTGCCAAATTTTGTTCCGGATATTTTAGCCTCGAAGATGAGCGCCAAAGTGGTTAATGGTTACCCAGGACCAGGATTTGAGGACCCTGATGGAGACTAAACCATCACAAATGGTACCTATGTGGGATGGCGGAAGAAATGGGTGTCAGCCTACATGAGGTTTTTGATGATTTGAAACGACTTCATCGAATCTCGAGCACACAATTTTCTTGCTGACGAAATGGATCGACTTATGTTACTTCAACAAAAGTGCACCATTGCACTTTTTTCGATTAAACTAATTAAGTATTCTCTGAGATATTACAGTCCAGAGTAGACCCAAAAAAACGGACAAAACTTTTGAATCAACCTAATAATTACAATACTAAACACATTCTTTGACAGACATTTTTTGTGGAGGACTCAATACTTCTTACTGTTTTTTGGGTATATAACCTTTCACAATCTGAAGAATAAAAAAAGCAAATTCAATAGAGACTTTGCCGAAGCGTAATAAAGGGCAAACTGAGTACACCCCGAAATGTTACTGCGTAATATAAACCACCGAAGAGTCCAACTAGTTAGTGATTTGTATTCATAAATTTTGACCAAAAATCAATTGAAATGACTGCATGATCAACTGATTTAACTGTGCTTTCAAAGTCATTGTATATAATACAAAAATATTTTTGAGGACAAAACACAAGCACTACAGAAAAATTCTTAGGGTGCTCTAGGAGCGGTGCCTATACGAAAGTGGTGATTCACATTGGATTTGAATCGCTCGAGATTAAACCCATTTGGAAAAACGTTCTCAGTAAGTTTATTACACATAAAAGCAGTTCTCCAAATGAAAGAGTTCTTAAACATTGAAGTTCGAGGTGTATTGAGTTGAACCTCAGAACAATGACCAGCCACAGTTCGTCGCATATTTCTGATATATACCGCTCTTGGAGAAAAGGCTTATACAAAGCCTATACCATATGGTCCTGGAACAGTTATATTATTTTTTGTGTATATTAAGGATCGCCTAATACGGGCCATAAAAAAGAATATTTACTCACCATATATATATATATATTCTGTTTAAAAAAAATATCTGTTTTTCCGTTAATCAGCGAACGTATGGGGGCGTTTCTCAGAAGTTGAGAAACTTGTGCGAGCTAAAGACTAACGAAGTCTTACCTTTTAATGTGTGATTCCTATACATTACGATTCTACCCATCCATATCAACACAAAATAGCATGATTAACAGGTTGGTCAATGTTTCTCTTTCAATAGATAATTTCAATGAAGAACTCAATATCATCAAGCAAATTGTAGTAAACATTGGGCTGCCTAAAGCTGAAATAATAAACAAAAATATTTTCCAAAAAAGATAATCAAAATCATAATTATTGAGCTTTAACGTATTTTGGACAAACAAAGAAGAAGTGGCTTCATTTTTGAGGAAACAAGATATTAAAGTTGCATGTAGAACAAGGAATACGTTAGGAAAGTTAGTTGAAAATAATAAAGACAAAACATCCAAATTCTAAAAATCAGGAGTATATAAATTAAAGTGTGGAACGCGTTCTAAGGTATATATTGGTCAAACTGGCAGAACATTCAGGAATCGAATCCAGGAACATCATATGAGCTATGTAATAAATAAGAAAACAAGTTCAACATATTCAAATCATCTTTTAGAAGAGAATCATATCTCTAACGAGAAGTTCGAAATTTTACACATAGAAAATAAAGATTTGAAACTGAATCATTTGGAAGCAATGGAAATTAACAAACTTTTAAATTCGAACATTTTAATGGATGACCTAATGGCTTTGAAAAGATCACCATTATTGAACTTGTTTTCTTAAAAAAAAACCGAGGATGTATTATTATTAATGTAGAAGTCAGGTAATATGCTTCAGGTAATCATAATGTGCCTTTTTCCTGAGAATAGTACAGCGAACGTGTCACGAGAGGCAGCACTAGTAGTAGGGACAAACATAAACTATTCACATGTAACAGTCTTCACAGTCTTATTTACGTAATATTAATTCATTATTTGAAAATATGAATCTGATATAAAAAATTATTTCGTGCTAGTATAATGTCAACAAAGCATTGCTGTTTTGCGAATTGTACGTCGGATAATCGATATCCGGAAGAAAACGTATTTTACACCATTTATAAAACCTCATATTAATGAGGTTAGATGTAAGAAATGGATAGGAGGGTGGATTTAACAGTGCAAATAATAAATAAATATTCATATGTATGCTCTAAACATGAAATGAATAGTAAATATTTTTCATAGGTAATTACCATTGATTAGAATGAGATATAACCTGAATCGTTTATTAAATTATATTCATTTACTATATTCAATTAAATTTATTTCATCATCATCTATATTTGATTCATATTTCACTGGGAAATCAATCTGAAATTCGTGATTATTTTAAATTTCTTTTATTACAGTTTGAATCTACCGCTACTAGAGTCTGTATACTAACCTGTCTATCAATTAACTTTTTTTCCAGTTTACTTTTAAATTACGGCATGCAAGCCAACGTTTTAATGTTACAACATTGTTATCCTTTACAGTTGCAAATTTTAGTTTTGCTCCAGGAACGTTTTCTTCTTTTAAAAACATTATTTTTCAATTGTACTTTTCCATATGTTCATATAAGGATTAGGCAGTGTTTGTCCCTACCGAAATACTAGCGCTGCTAGTGAGTGATTTTTCGTACTTCAGGAAAAAGGTTCATTGAAGAGATACCTTAGGTATATAAAAGTTGTAGAGGTTTAGTTATTTTGATGGAGGTAGTCTCGATTGTAGTTACCCGTGGTATATAAATATTAGCCTGAGAAGCAATTTGTAGTATTCCAATCACTGTTGAAGAAGCTACTGTGTTAGCGGACCATGTAGTGATATATTTCTCGAATAAAGTTTGTGGAGATCAAATCGTGAGTTGTAGTTTATGAAATTCAGAATATGAACTGGAAATTTCTGTCTCTTTTTCCATTCATATGTATCTTTCTATTTCGAAACAAATAAGAACACTTTCTTGATAGCCTTGGTGATATCAATTTCAAAGAAACCATCGTCCTCAACATATTTTGAAAGTGATTCAAACCAAAAGGGGTTGCTTAACGACTAACATTTATAAACTCGTTACAAATTTCCATCCATCTGGGAAAAAGTGCAGAGACATATGACATATGAATCACCCCATACGCAAGACCTCGCGTTGGCTTATTCTTCCGCCAACACACAACCGTCTTAAGACATTCACCAACAGTCAGCGCGGGCGCATTACTGGCTGTAACGAAAAGTGAATGTTTCAAACTTCTTGAATTCTCGATCTGACAGTTCTTGACGGACTGTTGCTGATTGGACCGCCGAAGACCGAAGAAACGTTCAATACGCGATGACCGGATTGTAACCTAATTTGTTTACGAAAATGCGACATAAAAAATAGCGCGAGTGCAATAGTTCACAGTGAATTTTTTTAAATATCGTAGTGTAGTTTTGGTTTTCCTCACGTTGTCGCATCTTGGAGAAAGGAAGGATATTCTTCACCAGTGAGTATTTCTATTGTTTATTCATCAATTAATATGCAGGAGAAGTAGATGGTACTGTTAAGTGTGTACTAGATAATGCAGCTTTGATTACGTATGGTATAAAACTGGCCGTGCTACTTTATTGACGTATTCACTGGTGTTCCTTCAAAAGAAGTAGAGTTTGTCACTGATCATGCGGCACTGAAATCTCATTTGAATTACCTTGATTAAATAGCATAGATTATGTAGTTTTCAACTGCTTTCTATCTTTTCAATTCATTGCCTAGAATCATTATTTGTGACCATTAATTTGCTACTTGCCATAGGATTTCTCGAGAAATTTTGAATATACCTTTTAATTATTTCTACACTTGTGAATTGATTTATAAATACATAAACATATACAGGATGTTTATTGAACATGCGGCAAAAACTTAAAGAACTATTCCTTGGAGTATTCTAAGGATATTTTCTCCTTTGATGATTTTTGATAGAGCGCTCTGTTTTGAAGATACGGAACGAAAAAACAATATTTTACCAAAAAGTACATGTAATGTTTTTTAATCTACAAAAACTGTAGAAAATGACTACCTCCCGATCAGATGCAAGAATCCAATCTTCTCCTCATCGACTCCCGAAGTCTTTCAAAAAAAACATCAGGATCGTTTATGATTGCGTTACACCAAGCATTTATCCGATTTCTCAAAATCTTCCACATCTTTCACTGGAGTAGTATTAACTAATGACTTTAGGTAGCCCCATAGGAAATAATCCAGGAAGTTTAAGTCCGGTGATCAAGCAGGCTATATGTGAGGTCCACCTCAGTCAATCCAGCGATCTCCATATGTTAGTGTTGAAAACTCTCGATACAATATGCTAAAATGTGCTAGTGCACCATCGTGCATAAACCACATTGCATTTCTTCTAACCAATGGTACATCCTCCAGAAACTGAGGTAGCGTTTGTTCCAAAAAGTTGCGGTATACCTCGCCGGTAAGTCTTCCTGGCAGAAATACCGGTCCAGTTAGGAGGTCACCTACAATTCCCACACATACGTTTAACGAAAACTGATGTTGAAAGCGATCTTCAAGCACCTCAAATGGATTTTCTTCAGCCCAAACATGGTTATTGTGAAAATTCCTTATGGCGTTTTATGAGAAACTGGCTTTATCGGTGAAACGAATAAGCATTAGTAGTTCAGGGATTTGAACCAATGTGTGTAAAAGCCATTGACAGAATGCAATACATGGAAGAAAATCTGCTGGAAGAAGTGCCTGAACTCGTTGTATGTGGTATGGATACAACAAGTAGTTGTTAATAGGTATCAACTGAATTGTTAGATTTTTTATTACTTGGTAGGTCCAGTGTAGTACGCTATACTTTTTTTCGGCTACCTTAATAGTTTTTAAATTACAAAAGTTTTCATTGTCGAAATTCTTTTTCGCCCCGTATCTTCGAAACAAAACGCCCATCAAAAATCATCAAAAGACAAAACATTTTTAGAATAGTCCGAGGAATAGTTCGTTAATTTTTTGCCGCATGTTTATTAAAGACCCTTTATACACATCGAGTCTAAAAATAATCATTCTACCTCAATTTGAGGGTGATATTGAGTACATACAGTGAGTAATTATCATTATTTTTATTATTATTTTGTGCGACATCGAAGGTTCCACATACGTTAGGGGACTAATAGATAGCAATTCTTCTTCTCTCTATTCCGTTGTGTGTATCCCTAAAGTCTGTGATATAAATCAGCTCTCTCCTAAATACCACTTGATTTAACTAAAACGCCACGGAATATTTTTATGTATTCTCCAAAAAGCACATAATTAGTATTTTCTTTGAACACAATTTTCTAAAACCACCAAAAACTTGAAGAAAAACATGTAAGTTCCCAAATTGTGCAGACTCATAGTCAATTTTATTGCATTGAAAGTTGGTTGTTTGATGTGTAATTCATCATCTTGAAATCACAAATATATTTTCTCAGCATTCGGCGACATATTGTCTCAATGAAAAAATTAACAATGTATGCCACTCCCGAGAATATAGTCCAGAGCTGAAGGAATCTGACCGGTTAAATCTAGCTTTCTCTCTAATTTTCAAAATGTGATTTCAATTTAGAGATTCACGTTTTAATTGAGTTCACTAATTTATTTCTTCTGACTTCAAATTGGATTCAAGGGTTCATTTTCGCCACGATTCCTGTAGGATTACCCATTATTAGGAAAATAGCACCATATGTTGAATCTGATTTATGAGCAATTTCAGATCACAAAAGATGCATATACAACTAATAAATAATCGGAGTTTGTTGAAAACAATCTCTTTATTAAGAATTGTTGTTTGCAGACCCCTGTTATTCATACATAACATACATAACTTCTGAGGGTTGTCGTTCGTAGGGGTGCGACAGCTGGTTAACGGAAAAACAGTTTTTTTTAAACATATAAAGAATGCAACCCATGTACCTGATATCTCTTAAGAGGCATTGCTAACACTGCAGTTTATATCAATATTAGACACTCAAGAAAAAGTTATTATGTACTGGAACTGTTTTTGTCAACTGTAATTTGCAAATCTCACATTAACGTGTTTTTGAATACTTTTTTCAGGATCAATTGAGACTTCATAATCCTTAATAAAATATTCTTTTCACCTTCTGTGAGTCAAAATGAGGTTTTGTTTCGATATAAATATGAATATTTATATTTTAAATTTCATAATACTGAGTTGAAAAAATGTTTCATCACTTAAGGTGATATATAAAGCAACTGAGTATTTTGGAATTATTATGGAGTTCACACAACGTTTTTCAAACTCGCTCATTCAAATACAAAATCATAATCTAATGAACTACAAGGTTTTTGACTCAAATGTAATGATTTTCCTTAAAAAATATCGGAAAAAAGTAATTCATAATAGATTATTCTTGTTTACCCAAAAAGAATAATGTAAATTAGGCAAGAAAAACATAATATCTAACATATGAGGTGATGTTGTAGATTGTAGGTAACAAATAGTTCATGGGTTTTGTAAAAAAATTATATGTTAGGTAATACACATTTGTCCTCTTCATATAATTATTCAAAGTGAAATTTACAGAACATTCAGAATGTTTTAAAACCTATTCGTGTGACTTCAAGAAAGTTTATGATGAATAGTTTCAAATAGTTTTAAAAATCAATGAAAGTTCTTCAATCATCGACACAAAGAAACTTCCTCAACAAAGTCATTTCAGTGATTTTATTGTTTCATTTTTACAAGATATAATACTGGTTCCACTCGCTAAAGTTGTTATTCGACCCTTTATACCGCATGTGATGCTCGTATCAGCAGTTTTAGCAACAAGCGACATTTGGAAGTATTTCCGGGACGGTTGATAGGCGGATGTGGTTGAAAAGTACAACCACCTCATTTGGCTGACCTCAACCTGCTTCATTATATTGTGGTATACGTTCACAGAGAAATTCATACAAGGCCGTGACTTTTAGATAGAATATTGAAAGCAGACAAATACATAAATGACATATTTTGGTAGGTTTGAGGTTTGGTGAAATTAAAATTTCACCCAGTGTTTCAGATAGACCTATTCTAATACCTTCACAAAGAAAGGTATGTATTATAAGTTGTTGTTATTGGCTACTTAGTTTGAATAGACTGTATCTATTTACTGAAATGTATATATGCTGATACATTTATTGAAAGTAACATATACAGCTTTTCTAAGAAGTAATCATAAATAAAATAAATAAAACCAATAAATTATATTATGAATTCCAGACTAACGCTATATATGAGTGTGTAAAACTTTTAATAAATGTGATTTACAGTTCGGACGATGAAAGAATACACATCAATAGATACCCGATGAACGGAAAACAAAACAGTTTGCGTTCAATCAGTAAGAGCTTTCATATATTTTCAGACCATTTGGTGTCATATCAATATTATGTTCCGCATACTGGAATATTCAAATTGCCAAATATCAGAGTTGAAAAAAATGGAAATTGAATTATAATAAAAATAATATTGATAAATTGGTGTCGAATTTTATGAAATTGGCCCACTATTTTCGAATTTTTAAATTGGAAGCAATTACCTATTCATTGAAAAGTTGATAGATATACAGTCCATTTAAAATGAACATTCGATCGATACCAAAAACCAATTTTTTTTTAGAAAAGGTTGATATTGAATAAAGTTATATTTTCTAACATTTCTTCATTAATTTTATGCATCAATTTTTGTACTAGTATATAACGAAAAAGACGTATAGAAATATGAGACGAAAAGAAAAAACAAGATTCCCAAAGAATTATAATTGCAATATTCACTTAAAGAATCAAAATGTTTTTTGTTGGCACTGTCTTTTATTTCCTAACTTATATTATCTCATCTAATCTTAATATCTTCAAAGATACATCCAAAAAACACTGTTTTATTAAATATCTCTTCTTACGATGTTGTAACTTTGTTGTTTCGTCGGTTATTTTGTTTGACATGTCATTATCAACTCTATGTTATATTTCCATACACCTACTTGTGATGAATAAATTTTAAATTCATAGTATAGTATAGAACAGAATATATTTAGGTACTATACTGATATTCGTTTTTTAATGCGGACCTAAGGATATAATTGAGGAGTATGAAACATCGACAAATAATGATTTTCTGTGAGTTCATTGTTTCTTATCACAAACTCAATTATCTAGTAAAATAAATGTTAACGTTTGTGTCGTTTCGAAACACTCAGTAAATGTTCTCAATTTGGTACTCTCTCTTATAACTGGAATTCCACTGTCACCTATTTTTTTGCAACTTTTACAAAAAGATTTTCAAAGTATTGGTTTTTTTGACCTATAAAATTGTAAACTAAATCAGTAAATCAGTTTTATTTGTTGTGCCGTTCAGTAATTACTTCAGTAATTACTTCTGGTGATTCGGAAAAGTGTTTTTTTGAATAAAGCCCTATATTAGTTTTCATTGGTGTTCCTTGCCTAGAGTACTATTGA